CACAAAAGCTGCAGCCACGTCCCCACCACATCACCCTTCTGACAGAAGCCACCCTCATTTCCCACCTGTGTGCCTACAAGAACTTCCTACTGGCTCTTCAGTTCTGTTACCAGCTCCTTCAGTTGATCCTCCCCAACAGCCGCCTGCTCCCCTGCTTAACCACCTCCCAACAGGGCTGGGGTGTGGCTCAGTGGTAGATGCATACTTGCCTAGTATGCATCCATCCCCAGTCCCTAGAAAACAACAACAAAACCCAATAGCCTCCCATCAAACTTGGAATACTTTTTGAGTTGAGTTGCCTGCCTCTCCCTTACTTCCTATGTGCCTCCCTTTGCCCATGCTGCTCCAGCCATACCTCATCCTTCTTGCCTTGAACATGTCAAGCTGGTTTCTACCTCCGTACCTTTGCATTTGCTGTTCCTTCTTCCTGAAATGCTTTTCCTCCAGCTTCTTTCATGACTGACTCATTCAGTCCTCTGCTCTCAAAGGCCAGCTTCTTAGTGAAACCTTTCCTAACCACCCATTAAAAGGGGCCCCTCCCTTTCCGACACTGCCCTGTTTCATTTTCTGCATTACACTTACTCTGAAACTGTCTTTTTGCTGGCTTGTGTCTTTGTTTACTGTCTGTCTCCCTAAGAGGGCATATGGTCCCCAAGGGCAGCCACCTCTGCCTTGTTCACAGTTGACCGTGAATAAGTGCCTGGCATACAAAAGGGGCTTGATAAGTGCCAGTTGAATGAGTAACTGTAGTGTGATTGTCACTTTACTAGGAGAAGCTCTAAATGGGAGACAGGGCAGTGTCCAGTGTGCTATTGACTCTGCACTCCATCCCTTGTCATATGGAGCCCAGGAAGTCCTGACTACTGGGGCAGAATGGCATGAAACGGAGAACCATTCAACAAGGAGAAAACCTGCATATGGATGTACTTCTGCCTTATACTAAAATTTCAGGACAACACACAACTGCAAGTCCCCAACCCAGGAATCAGTAGGAGGGACTGTACAGCCCAGACACTGCAAGGCTCTGTGCATGCACTGACCACACACCTCCGGGTCTGGCACTACTGCCCCTTCTTCAAGCAACAAGACCTATCTCTTCCCTCTGGGGACTTGCCTTCCCACCATGTTCAGATCACCAGGCCCAGGTGGGGCTGCCTCTGCTTTCTCAGGGGCTCAGCACTGACTCAAACCTTGCAAAGGATGTGTTTGATTCACCTGTGCAGACACATATCACATTCCTTGTCCCAGGCTCCACCACACCCACTGGGTGTCTCTGGAAACCTGTATTCACTGGGCCCTGCCAGCCGAAAAGATTTTGTTAAACTTCATTTTCTGTGGCCTTATTAGGAAAATGTGGATTCTTTCTCTACTCTCCAAACACAAAAGGATGCTTTAACAGTTAATGTTAAGTTTTCAATCAATGCCAATCCGTACCCAAGACATTCTGAAATATTCCCCTGGAGAGATACTTTCCCTTTCTGTGATTGAAAAATAGCAACAAAGCATCCCTCACTGATTCTGTAAACACCCATGCAGCCCCCTCAGTAGAAGTGCCTAGCATTGGGAAAATTATCTAGCTGTATCATAATTATCCCTTCATCTGTACAAGCTTGGAAACTGCAGGGAATGAGCCTCCCAAACTGTCTAACCAGCATTAAGGGCAGCAAACTTTCTCTTCATACTTTATGTAATTTTAAAGAGCTAGGGTTTGTGAGTGGTTTTGTTTGTTTTGTTTTGCAGTGCTGGAGATCAAACCTAGGGCCTTTGCACTTTGAACAAACACTCTACCACTAAGTCACCCACACACACACCATTTTCACTTTTAGTTTGTTTTTGGAGAGGGTCTTTTTTGTTTGTTTGTTTTTTCTTTTTCTTTCTTTCTTTTTTGGTGGTACTAGGGTTTGAACTCAGGGCCTCACACTTGCTAGGCAGGCACTCTATCACTTGAACCACTCCGCCAGCCCAAAGAGGGTCTTTAAAGATAGGTCTTTTGCCCAGGGCTGGCCCTGGACCACAATCCTCCTATCTATATCTCCTGAGTAGCTGGGATTACAGGTGTACTCCACCTTGCCTGGACTATTCTGGGCTTCTTAGTATTTTTCAAATGAAGCACTTCCTAGTGGCTCATTGATGTATCTGTTTCACTACAAGTGGGTAAAGCCAGCCCCCGGGGTGGTGGGCTCAAGGATGGCTGTGCCTATTTCTAAATTTTCAGCTTCCTGCCAGGGCCTAGCACACAGGAGGCTGGGGGAGTGTTTGTGAAATGGATCAGGCAGAGAGCTGAGCAGACAAGGGATGTGGAAGAGGAGGACAGGCAGCTGAAGAGGGGCTTAAGCCAAGGGTTGGCCTGGAAAGTTACAGCAGTGGGCAGCTAGGGCTGGAATAGCTTCCCCTGGGCTCTACATGTTGTCAGCCCACAGGAGGTACAGAATAAGCTGGTGTTGAGGAAATGAGGCCACAGAGCACTCAGCTCCTGAGAAAGAATTCCCAGAAAACATACCTGGTCCAGCTTTGCACTTGCTGAGAATTACAGGGAAAGATCAGAGTTGAGTGCACTGGGGAAGGAAGAGAGAAAGGAAAGGGTGGCAGGGAGAAGTTCAAGGAGAGCTAGGCATCAGGTCCTGGGTGGACAACTGGTGGCAGAGGGTTGGCCTATTGCCGGGGACCTGGAGGAGCCTGGGGTGGTCTGAGGGGTGCACGGAGCGAGGAGCACCTGCTGCTTATAGGATGATGGTCTGGCCAGTGCTGCTCCAGGCTCCCTGCTCCTCCTCCTTCTTTTAGTCTTTGTTCTCACAGGCACATTCAGACACTACTGGAGAAAGGGAAATGCACATAGACTTCCTGGAGGCAAGCCGAATGATGAAGAAGAACTGTCCCGGTAAAGAAAGGGAGCAACTCCAGGCAAAAAGAACAGGAAGCAAGGCCACAGGCACCAGCAAGAAGCCCCAAGCCACTGGTGTTGCTCAGTAAAGGGCCGTGTGGCTATAACGCAAATGAAACACCTGCTGCTGGAGTCTCTGGTGGCCCAGATGGGAGGGGCTGGAAACCATTTCCCGTGAAGGACAGCTAAAGGTAGCAGCCATGGGCCATGTGGTTAGAGCCCTGGGCTACCAGGTCATCTCTGCCACTCCTGCTCACAGTGTGACCGAGGCATGTCACCTTGCCACTGGGAGTCTCTTGGGTTCAGACGTTATCCTTGGCCACAGTGTCTGGTATAAAGACAGCATGTGGAAGGCTATAGTTATTATTGCTGTGGTGAGCCAGGGACCGGGTCACTGTTTGGAAGACCCACCATGGAACAGAGCAACCAGGTTGTGGAGTGTTTCTGCAGAACCAGGCCTAGTGGCAGACCATTCTAAGGTGGGGATCAGCTCACTGTTCAGGAGAGTCTCAGATAGGAGCATGGATAATGGAGTAGGCCTGTCTGGAGGGGTGGACTCCCCCTTCATAGACAGTACCTGCCTTAGGAAGTATGAGGAAAGATGACGCATGGAGTGAGAGAACAGCGGTGAAATACTAAGCTAGGGAAAGTTAGCAATTTCTTTGCTGCAGGATTTCTCAGGATTTCACCATCTTAGAATGCATCACAGACTCAGATGTTTGCCAATCCAGACAAACAGGGTTGAGCTAAGAGAGTGTGCCTGCTAGAAGGTGGGGGGGTCCTTTTCAGCTCCTACTATGTGTAGGGGGGGAAGAGAGAAAGAAAAAGAGAGAGGGAGAGGGAGGGGACAGAGAGAGAGAAGGAAGGAAGGAAGGGATTTGGTTACAGAGACAGACAAAAGAAGACCGTGTGATGATAGAGGCCAAGGTCAGCATGATCTGTGTCCATCCATGGAGCATCAAGGATTGCCTGCAACACCAGATGGGGCAGGGAGGGAGTCTCCCCTAGAGCCTTCAGAAAGACTGTGGCCCTGTTGACACCTTGATCTTGGGCTTGTGGCCTGAGACAATACATTTCTGTTGTTTTAAGCCACTCAGTTGGCACTTATTATGGCAGTCCTGAGAAACTAACACAGCCACTAGTTCACCACTCAGTGTACATGTGAAACTCCAGAATGGGGAGAGAGGATGCAGTATTTCCTAATACATAGAACACGGACCTCTTTTCTGAAAAAGCATATTGTTGGATGAACCAGGATGTGGGGTTCTAATTCTGACTCAGGCTTTCTTTGGTGCCTACACAGGTACAGGGTGACTCCTGGTTTCCTCACCTATAAATTGAGGATAATGCTATTCTGAGCCCGAGGGAGATGCACAGAAAGCACCCAGCCTGGCATTCCATCAGGTGGGGACTAATGTGAGATTCTCTTCCTTGTGAACCTTACTTTACCTATCTGAAGACAGGATGGGAACCTCTCCCCAGGCATCCTGGGGCTGGTGATCAGAAGGGTTCATGAGGACAGTCAGCCCCCTCCTGCACACTCACTGCTTCTGCATGTCCTTTGCAGCAGGGAGTGTGGTCCCAGGTAGCCACCCTTACCTGTGCTGTGAGCTGGATGGGTTGGGACAAGGTGAGCTGTGGGGTCCCTGGGGGCTGGCTGGCAGGCTGTGGTTGTGGCAGGTCACCTCCCCCAGAGGAGGCTGGGGGCTGCGAGGTGGAGGAGGAGGCAGAAGAGGAGGAGGAAGAGGTGGTGGAGGAGGAGGCGGCGGCAGCAGCAGCAGCGGCATTGGCGGCAGCGGCGGCACTGGACTGCTGCACGGCGGCGGCCAGGAGCTGGGCCTGGGCCTGCTGCAGAAGGAGCTGCTGCTGAGCTGGCATCAATGCTGTGAGCTGTGGGGGCAGCGGACGGGTGGGCAGAGGGCCGAGAGCAGAGAAGGCAGAGAGGGGTTAGAGCCTAAGCCAAGCAGGTTAGGGTAAAGTCTTCCCGGAGGACAGAGGAGAGCAAGAGGCAGGCATGAGAGAGTAGCCACGGCCTTGGTGGGACTCCCCATCCATGAGTCCTGCAATAGAAGGGAGGTGGCTGGTTTGTGTCCCGCCCCCATCCTTCCCCAGTACTTACCCCAGCTAGCTGGCTGCCCGTCAGCATGAGCTGGGCCTGGGGCAGATGTGGCTGAGCCGGCTGGGGGGGTGGGGGTGCTGCTGGGGCTGAGTCACCACTGGGGTCTTCAGCCTTGATCTGAGGGGGAGAGAGGCAGGGTCCGGGACCCCAGAATGTTAAGTGGAGGCCAGAGAGAATGCCCACCTGTGAACCAAAGAAAGGGCACAGTGTGGCAATGGCTGGCGCAGGAGGAGTGAACTGGAGGATGGAGGTGAGACCATGGGTTGAGGCCTCTGACCCCTCCTCTGGCCTCAGTTTCCTCATCAGTCAGATCAGGCTAACACACCAGATGTGCCCAAATTCCCTCCAGGAGAGGTCATCTTTGCAGAGCACATTTCTCCTTCTGGATATCAGTTTCCCCACCTGTAAAATGGGAAATTGTGCCACTGGGAGGCTGGGAGGGCAAATGGGGGGGGGTGGTTCTGGGTCTCACACCTCTCCTTTGTATCAGTTGAAGATGCACCTCTTATTTGTCCAATGGAGTAAGACCTTGTTGGAAGGAAGGGTCTTATGGACCACTTAGAACCTGGGCCACAAACTCAAATGGTTATGAAGACAAGCAGACAGTACAAACGGGAGACATGGGTGAGGGTGGGCGGGGGTAGGCTGGAGAGAACATGCCCACTTGAAGGGGAGGCCCACCTAGCTCCTACTCTGTTCCCACTGGCCACTCATTTCAGAATGTGAAACAGAAAAGCTAGTAGGAACCTATGCTGTGGACAAGGCAGATGAGGTCCAGGATTTCTAGGTTGCAACCCCTGCCCCACGGGTCTGCAAGCCCCTCCCTATCTCTCTGACTCTGATGCGGCCATATCTTGCATCACACTCATAGAACAGACCAGCATCACGCCATCCTAGCCTTCCTCTCCTCGATTAAATGTCTAACAGCAGCGCCCATTGGCTGAAAGGCTACTAGCTAATGGACGCTAAGGAGCAGGAGGGCGTGATGGATCACACGTTCTCAGGGATGGTGAGGACATTAGGGAACATCCTTCAGTCCAGTGTCCCAGACCATTTTGCAAAAGGAGATCCAGAAAGAGAAAAGAACTTGTGCACGTCACAGCAGGTCAGCAAGGGGGTGACATATGGAGATGAGTAGATAGAGACGGGGGAAAGGGCAAATGCCAGATGCTGAGTCCCAAGTTATGGGACACAAGTGTCAGAAGTTTTAGGGATACAGGGCTATGGCATGAAGTCAGGGAAGGGATTCTCCCGGGCAGGGGCAATTGGGGCCTCTGGAAGGCCAGTCGCAGTCTGTTTCTTGATCTGTTACTGGTGCTAAGTGTATGCTCAGTTTGGTTTGTGAAAATTCAGAGTCACACACTCAGGATCTCTGAGTGTTTTGATGTGTGGAATATTTTAATGTGAAGTTAAAAAAATAACATTGAATGCCATGGCGAAAACATCATTGTTTTTTTTGGTGCTTTCTCGTTCTTTTGGGCTATCTTAAGAAAGTCTCTATGTGAGGCTAGGCATAGTGGTGTGTGCCTGTCATCCCAGTGACATGGAAATGGAGATGGAGGGATCGTGGTATGAGGCCAGCCTGGGCAAAAAAAGTTAAATGAGACTCTACCTCAAAAAACAAGTCAGTGAGAAGCAAATAAAGGAAACAAACCACAACAGCAAAACAAGCCAGGGAGCTGGAGTATGTATAACTCAAGTGGTAGAGTGACTGCCTAGCAAGCAAAAGGCCCTGAGTTTAACCTCCAGTACTGCCAAAAAAAAAAAAGTTTCAGTGTGACGTGAACATGCCTCAAACATCTCTCCAATGCTGCTCAGCCCATGGAGAACAAGTTTAGACCCTTCGGCACATGAGACTTGGGGTAAATTTTAATAGACATTGTATTTATTTCCATGGCAAGTGATTCTGGTTTTCCATTCATGAAATTTCCATTTAAAAACCATTTATTCAAGCTGTTGAGAAAGAGAGGCAGTTCATGAGTTGATGATTGTTGAAGCTGATGGATGGGTTCCTGGGGGGTTTATTTTCATTATATCCTTCTGTCTATTTTTGTATTGGCTTCACATTTTCCATAATAAAGTGTTTAAAAATTGAGCCACTTAACAAAATTATTATGCAAATAATTTGTGCATGGTAGTGTGCAGAGATGTCTGAGATGATGAGGGAGCACATGAATCACTGCAGTTGGGGAAAGATGGGCCCAGAAGACAGGCAAAGGCTGAGACCAGAGAAACAGGCTGAAGTGTGAACGGAAACCCGGGCCTGGAGAGGGGAGGGAAAATCCTTTGTTCCCTAGGGCCCCACTGGCTTTCCCAAGAGAAGGAAGGCTGTTGCTGGGGTGAGATATAGATCCTATTCAGCTAAGAAGGGAAGGGTGGGGTGATGGGCACACGCTCCTAGTGCTGAGGCAAGAGCCAAGCTTGACATCAGCAGGTCAAGAGCCCTTCTCGCCTGGGCCCCAATCAGATCAAAGCGCTCAATACAGAAGGCACTTGCTCACAAAGCACTTTGTCCTCCCACGGCAGCATCAGGGGCACGCCAGAAGGGGAAAGGACCTCAGAGACCATCCAATCTCACTGCCCATCACCCCCCACCAATGTTAGAGAAGAGGAAACTAAGAACCCAGAGAGGGGAAGTGACTTTCCCATGGTCAAAGGGCAAGGCTGTGCCTGGGTGGAGAGCAGTTCTTAGCCTCCCACCCCATCCCTCAGCCACCTCTAGGCAGGTTCAGGAGTTCTGCTCTTGCCTTAGTGCTACCTTCAGGTCTTTGGGTCTACCTGATGCCTCAAATCAGGCTGGAGGGTAGAAACCTGGGCCCAAGGAGACCCCTGGAAGTTCAGTAGTGCCAAGCACAGGGCCCCATGGGGATTTGGAATTTATGCCATCCGGGCTGCTTCCAGCCTCCCCATCACCCTCTCCTGCATCCCCGCAGCTGTCCTAGCTGGGTCTGCCCCCGGCCCTCCCCACTGTCCCACACCCCCAGTGTGTGTGTGTTGGGGGGCAGGAGATGGTGCAGGTCCCCTTGGTCAGGGAAGTCGGGATGGGGGTGGGGCCTTGGCTTCCTGTTGTTCATCGCCCTGGGGCTCTGGGGGGGATTTCCCTGGCCACCCCCACCCCCTAGGGAAGGGGAAGGAGCCCTAGTGAGTCACAGGCCTGGGGCGGGAACTGAGGGTGAGAAGGGTGGCAGGAGGATCCTTGTCACTGGGTGTTCTCACAGGCCCTGGCCATAGCAGGCAGGCTGACGATCCCCCCACCCCAATAACACTCCTCCCCTGGATGTTCCCACAAGTGCTTACCTTGGTGCTGGGGCCAGTTGGGGACACGGAGAATGGGGAAGTCTTATTCTGGGGGTTCTGTGAAAAGAAAGTTGGGGTGGAGTATGGGAATAGTGAGGCGAAGCAGCTTCAGACATCAGCCCCTCCCACCAGCTGCACAGAGCCCCTCTGCTCCCTCCTCCCCTCCCCGCCCTCCAGCTTGTTCACTCCCTTCTGACCTGATGGTTAGTGTCTGGTCCATTTCTTTCGGTGTCTGAAAGAGATAAGAAAGGATATATTGTCATCAACCACCCTGATACATCTGTCCCATCCTGATCTTCACATGTGCCCACTCCCCTTCCCCTCCCAACCCACCTGTGTGCTCTGATGGGGAGTCCAGACCTTGCTTCTCGGCCTCCAGGGGCTTAGACATTCTTATTTCTGGGAAGAGAGAAAGAATGAAAATGGTGGAGAGGGAGAGGAAGCCATGAGGGCTCTTGGGTCCCTCCTCCGTCACCCTCTCCCAAGACTTTTCCAAATCCCCCTACCCCCTGGCACTTTTGAAGTGAGATTCACCCTTGGTTCTGGACCTCTGCCCTCCTCTGGAAGGATAAGAGAGGGGTCCACAGCCCTTGGGTAAATCTTGCTTTAAACTTTCAAAAAGTGGCACAGGAGTGTCACCCTCTGGGGCGCTGGGGCAGAACAAGAGGCAGAAGGTGGTCATGAGGAAGCATCAGCTGCTCTGGAGGAGGCTGGGGGGTGCTCCAAAGGAACAAATGTGACCTCTGGCCTCCTCCCTAGGTGAGCCGTCCTGCCCCACCAGGTTTCGGGTGAGACATGTTTTCCACTCTGAGTGGAGCCTAGGAGATGTGATAGGGCTGCAGCATCCCCAAAGAAGGGAGTTGTCAGATTCAGGGTGTGATTCAGCCACCCTCTGCCCTGTCACTTTACTTGTCCCCACCTTACTCCCACCAGCCTTTCTCCTCATGTGCAGTGCACGGGCCCAGCAGCCTGAGCCTGCTGCTGTCTAAGCCCAGCATCACCTGCCTGTGCCTGGACCACAGCTTCCAGTATAGTCCTAGACCATGCCCAGGACTCAGCCTTGAATTCCAGCAGCACCCTTGAATCCACTCTATAAATGCAACCCCGTTCTGTAGTTCACATGAGATCCAGGAAATGAAAGGAGGTGACCAAGGGAAAGTGGCAACAACCAACCAACAAACCAACGGAACAAACTCTGTCCTCACAGCGCCAGCACTGAGCACTGCACTAAACAGGAAGCAGAGCTCACATGAATGGTTGGTACTAATATTCCATTTCACAGAGGAGGAAACTGAGGCTCTGAGAAGGGGGTCACTTCTCCAAGAATGCTGCAAGACAGCAGAGGTGCCCTAACTGGATGCAGGACTTTGTGACTCCTGCCTCCTGCCTAATGGGCCCCAGTCCTGATTTCCATGTATCATCTGCAATAGTCCTCAACCCAAGTTTATCTGGATGCCAGCTACCTGCCTTACTGGTCCTGGACCCCAGCCCAACTCATTCTTAGTCCCCTTATTTACCCTAAGTCCTCACTTATACCCAGATGTTCCACGTTGAATGGCCTGCATTCAACCTTAATTCCCAATTGGCTTTAGACCTCACTCAAGACACCCCACAAGTTACTCCCAAATCCCTACCTAAACTGTGACCCAACCACCCCTTTTCAACTCTAGTGTGCTCTGCACCCAAGATATTTAAGGAGGATCAGCTAACAGGAGGGATGGGAAGAATTTCACAATGGAAAAAAAGGTCTAGAAATTTCACAACTGACATGAAATGCCCCTCATAAGACTTCTAATTCAAAAGCCAGGTCATGCACTGCTAGTGGGAGTATAAACTGATTACAAGCACTATGACCCAGCATGTCCACTTCTGGGCATCCACCCAAAACATGCATCCTGCCACCAAAGGGCCAGGTCTGGATGTGGCCACAGCCTTTTCATAATGGTCCCATACTGGAAAGAATCCAAGGTCCCCATCAACAGGTGAACTGAAAAACAAAATGTGGTATGTCCACACAATGAAACACACTACGGCAAGGAAAAAGAACAAACTCCTGCTTCATGCACACTACTGAATCTCTCAGACTAAGTGAAAGTCGCTACACACAAAGGCAGACATAGTTAGGACTCTAGTTTATGGAGTTCAAAACCAAGCAAGTGGATCTCAGATTATCAAGTCAGATTAGGAAAGGGAGTGAGAGAGCCTGCAGGGTTTACACATATGTCAAAATTCATCAAGCCACACTTAAAATTGGAGCTCTTTACTGTATGTTTTAACAAAAAAGAATACAAAAGCTAAAAACATAGTCAGGTGTAGGTTAGGGAGGATGGGGATAGGACGCTGCTGGAGCTCAGAGCCAGTTTCCAGGCACTGCAGATGAGCACTGAATAGCTAATGATCCAGGAAGATGCAAAGGGATCCAGACAATGAGGCCTCTCCTGACTCTGGTCTAACTCACCCAGATCTTAGCCCTACTCCAGGCAACCACCAACCCACACTGTGCCCTAACTCTCCTTCCCAGCATCCTTGAAACACAGCCTCAACCTCCTTTCAGGCTACTCCCTCCAAAAGTATCCACATCGCCCAAGGAGATCCTCAGCTGTCCTTGGCCCCAAAGCCTTCCACAGGTCTCCCCCAAGCAAGGTCCAGGTCCAGGCCCCTTAGCTTGGCCTTCAGGGTGTGGCCTGTCACTCTCTGCCTCTGCTGCTCCTCTCTTGTCACTCATGCATCCTGCTTTTTTTTTTTTTTTTTTGGCAATACTGGGGATTGAACTCAGGGCCTTGCATTTGTTAGGCAGGTGCTCTACCACTTGAGCAACACCCCCAGACCTTTTTGCTTTAGCTTTATTTTTCATTTAAGGTCTTACTTTCACCCAAGGCTGATCTCAGAGCAAGTCCCCCTACCTCCACCTCCTGAGTAGCTGGGATTAGATTATAGGTCTGCACCACCATGCCCGGACACATCCTGTTTTTTGACCACAGAGTCCCTCTGCTTGGGGTCTCAATTTTGATGGAAAGGTTACACCTCACAGGTCTAACCCCCAGCCCTGCCACCTAGCTGGTGTCTGCCTCTCCTGCCCACAGATAGGGCAGCCTCTGACCTCACCACCCCAGAAATTCCATACTTGTCCTTGGCCTCTGCTGTGTGGTGTTTGTCCCCTAAGTTTATATGCTCAGTTATAGCCTCCAGTACCTCCCAATGTAACTGCATTTGGAGGGAAAGTAGTTCATGAGGTACAGAAGGTAAAACGAGACTATTAGGATGGGTCCTAATCTAACTGGTATCATCATCACAAGAAGAAACAGGGACACTGGGACACAGAGGGAAGATGGTGAAAAGATACACGGAGAAGTTTGTCATCTGCAAGCCATGGAGAGGGGCCTCAGATAAACCAGCCCTATAAGGCTGGCGGAGTGAATCAAGCGGTAAGAGCGCCTGCCTAGCAAGCCTTGAGGTCTTGAGTTCAAACCTCAGTGCCACCAAAAACCAAAAAGCACAGCCCTGCCAACACCGTGATCTCTAACTTTTAGCTTCCAGAATTGCCAGAAAATACACTTCTGTCATTTCAGCCATCTAGTCTGTGATCCTCTTTTTTTTTTCTTTTTTTCTTTGTTTTGTTTTGTTTTTGCAGTACTGGGGATTGAACTCAGGGCCAAGAGCTCTACCACTTGAGCCACACCTCCAAATCTTTTGCTTTTAGAAAGGGTCTCTCCTGCCCTCCTCTGTGCTGGCACTTGGTTCTAGGACTGTGGCATCTGTGTCCAGGTCCCCTCCCCACCAGACCTGGGGACAGGCCTGCTCTGACTCATCACTAGATCTGAGCCTCCCCAGCCCAGAACCGGTTCTAAACGGTTCACTGAACATCCCTCCCTGCAGCTCTTGCTGTCTCTTACTTGTTTCTGCCCCATCCTGTGATCTCCCTGCCACTCAACAAACATTTCCTGAGGCCTTGCCATGCTCTGGTCCCTCTGTCTGGAACACTGTTCCCCACTCTGTCCACCTGGTCACCTCCTATTCATCCTTCAGAACCCAGCAGACTGTGTCTTCTATGAGGCCACCACCCTGACGCTGCTGACTTGGAGCCAGGGTCCCCCACACTCCGTCTTCTCTGCTTCCCCATCACTTGTCACTGTTCTGGAGACTGTGGCCTTCTAGGTCCCCACATGTCTCCCCCTTTAGCCTGGAAACTCCTCAGGGCAGGTCTGACCTTGGGGTTCCACTCGGTCTAGCAGAGGACCTGTGTGTCAACAGCTGATGGTGGGCACAGGCATTGACCTCCTTCTAGGCCTTTTCTTCTGCTCTTCCCCATGGAGACCTTTTCCTGCTCTCCTGACAGCCCCTGCTCCTCTTTAAGTCCTGCTCACCTATTTTGCAAAGTCCTCCCTGGCCCGCCAGGTGGTCAGTGGCTCTCTCCTCCAGTTTCCTTGCTCTTGCACCCCCATTGCACCCTGATGGCCCTGGACAGTGTGCCTGTCCTTACCCCCGACTGTGCTTAAGAGCCTAAGCTAAAGTCATCAGTGCATAGGCCTCAACTATGTCTTTGTTTTATTTTATATTTATTCATTCATTTATTTATTTGTGGTACCTGGGATTGAACTCAGGGCCTTGCACTTGCTAGGCAGGTGCTCCACCACTTGAGTCACACCTCTGGCTCTTTTTTACTTTTTTTAGTTATTTTTCAGATAGGATCCTGTGTTTGTGCCTGGGCCAGCCTTGGGCTCCAATCCTCCTGCCTATGCCTTCTGTGCAGCTGGGCTCACAGGTGTGAGCTACCACACACCTTGACTGTGTCTTTGGACTGAATGAACACACGATGCAGCCTTCTGCTGACCAGGACTGACATTGTCTAAAGCAAGCCCCATCTCTGCTGTCATTGATGCCTTAAATAAACTTCCATGCCTCTCCAAGGCAATTCTGCCTTAAACCACTGTGCCGACGGCAGCTGGAGACAAAAGATGGTTTGCAGGAAAACATCCACCATTCCATTTCCTTTATTCTCCCTAACTTTTCCTGACAGGGCCTAGTACTCCATGTTCTGCACTTGGCTGGGCCACAGCAAACCAATCAAGAGCTGCCCTTGGTCCAAGTCACTCTTGCTCTTTCCTCCATCCCTATGAGAGCCCAATCCAAGGCAAAGGTGAAGTCATTCCCACCAAGGGGAAATAGGGGGGTCCATCTTTTCCATGTACCAAAATAATGTTCTAATAGGGACTTGACGGCATCAGCCACCAGGGACTCAGAGGGGCACACCCTGGCCCAGGCGTGATGCTGCTGTTATTCCTATCCAGATGCTGGTTTCAATGTCACAGGGTGTGACCTGGGCATCTGTCTTTATTTATTTATTTATTTATTTAATTTTGCTGGAACAGGGGTTTGAACGCAGGGCTTTGCACTTGCTAAGCAGGTGTTCTATCGCTTGAGCCATTCCACCAACCCTGTTATGTCTTTTTTAAAATATGCGTGCACCGGATGCTGGTGGCTCACATGCCTGTAATCTTAGCTACTCAGGAGGCAGAGATCAGGAGGATTAAAGTTTGAAGCTAGCCTGGGCAAATAGTTTGTGGGACCCATCTCAAAAAAAATCCATCACAAAAAGAGGGCTGGTGGAGTGGCTCAAAGTGGAGGCCCTGAGTTCAAACCCCAGTGCTCAAAAAAAAAAAAAAGTGTGTGTGGGTATGTGTATTTGCTGTGGATGGAACCCAGGGCCTTGTGCATGCGAGGCAAGCACTCTACAATTGAACCACACCCCCAGCTCTGAGCGTCCAGATTTCCAAAAGCCCCTCTAGATGACTCTAATGTGTTTCAGCCTCCTGGTACCCCCAGAAGCTCCTCTGAAGCCTCATTCACATAGAAAATTTGGATGCATATTTACGACTACCCCTCCCACCATCCCAGGTCTTGTGTAAGTTTTGAGAAGCCAGCAAGAAACAGCAATACATAATGTCCCAGTCCCCTTGGAGCTGTCTTGTTCCTTGAATCCCAGCATCCTCAGGCCAGACCCTACCAGGCCTGCCCAGTCCCTGAGCTCATCTGTACTTGCCCCACTTGCCCCAGGCCTGGTGCTCTGGGTCCTCTCCGCCCTCCTTGGCCCTCCCTCCCCGGACTTTCACTTCTCCTCTGCGTTTCCCCCAGCCAGTTTTAGCAGACTTAGGCCAGCTTCTCGTTAGCACTTACCGAAAATGGGGCTAAATATAGAGGACCCAAGGACTGCCCCTCACCCTTCCTGGCCCCCCTTGGCCTGTCCCCTGGGTCTTCTGCCTCCACAGCCCGCCTCCATCAAGACTATGGCCTAGGAACCCCTGTGGGCAGGGTTGGTGCTACCGGGAACTTCTGTGGGCCCAGCTGGCCCAGCCACCCCCCGCCCCATCTCCCCAGGAGCAGCACCTCACACACCCCTAACCCCACAGCTGTCCCTGGGTGGCCTCAAGGGAGTAAGCACTTCTGAGCTGTCAGGAGGGAGGAATGGAGATGCGGGGAGCAGACACAACAAGAGAGGTGGGCCCAGCTGTGCCGACAACAGGCAAAGAGCTGCCACATTGTACCCAAACCACAGCTACAACCTGGCAGGGCCAGGCCAACACACACAGGACACAGGCATACCCAGATCCTAGTCTGAAATGTTCACAGTCACAGATCTGCAGATGAAGACACATGCTCAGATATGGTGCCACAGACAGGTATGCAAAAGCACTTCCATGTTCTCATACCCAAAGTCACACACAGACATACACCCACTCAGAGTCCACACAGACACAGACACACACACACACACACACACACACACACACACATCCAGAGTCATGTCATTCTGGGATATGACCAGGAAAGACCCCCGGGACAGTTCACAGATGTGCAGCCTGAGACCAGCAGGACAAATGATCCATCCAAGGCCACCCACTATATTGACTCACATCTCTACAATGATTGATAGATGTCTATACAATATGTTAATTCACACCTAGACAATGTATTGAGTCACATCTATACAATATACTGATCCATATTCATTCACAGAAAACTCAAGTCAGTCCTCCCAAGCTAGAGCTGTTTTGTGAGGAATTCCAAGTAAAGGGTCCAACCTACTGCCTAGCACCTATGAGGTCCCACTTGACCTCAGACAGTCAAACCAGTGATGGAACAGACACTGTGCGTTTGCAGACACTCTGGATCTTATGTCTACACTGTATAGAGATCTATACATGTACATGGCTGCCTCAACACAGTCACCTCAATAAATGAATGCATGCCACTCTGAAGATAGTCTTCGTTCCCCACACCCTTCTGTGCCTTGCTCACCCTCCCATCCTTCACACCCAGCTCAGACACCCTCACCCCCCCAAGAAGTCCTCTCTGGCATCATACTAGCTGAATTGGATATCGTCAGGGCTCTACAACCCCTTGTGCCTCTCCCATCCCAGTCCTGACCATTCTGTATGGTCATTGGTGACAGGTCTGTCTTTGTGGAACTTGAAGCTCCAGCAGGGCAGACCTGAAGCTGCCGTTTTCAGTTGTATTTCCAAAATCCAGCACAGAACTGCTCAATGAACACATGTTGTTTTTGTTTTGTTTTTAGCCATACTGAGGTTTGAACTCAAGACCTCACATTTACTAGGCAAGCACTATACCACTCGAGTCATGCCTGCCAGTCCTCAATAAATGCATGCTGATAAAGGATCACAGGGATGTCACACATACTAGTGTGCACATAGGACACACACCAAGACAAGACTCATACCCACAGACACCTAGGAAGGTTTACACCTCCTCACGGTCATGTCAGTACCACAAATGAAGCAATCATGAGGTGTTGAGTGCTTCCCATGTCCCAGGCACTGTGGTAAGCATGTTACTCATGTCACCTCATTTAACGCTCCCATTGACACTGCCAATGTTGATACTGTTATGCAGAGAGACGCACATTCCACCCAATGAGCCAACAAGTATAAGTCGCCTTGTACGGTGTCTGGTGCACAGTGTTCACTCAGTCAACATGTGGTGGATGGGGCATGGAACAAGCTCACAAACATATGATTCAGGCGGCTAAGTGCTAGTAGCTCATGCCTGTAATCCTAGCTACTTGGGAGACAGAGATCAGGAGGACTGCAGTTCAAATCCAGCCAAGGCAAACAGTTTGTGAGACCCTATCTCAAAAATACCCAACACAAAAAAAGCAGACTGCCTGCCTAGCAAGTGTGAGGCCCTGAATTCAAACCTCAGTACTGCCAAAAAAAAAAAAAAACATTTAGGCAGCAATGTGTCATGAAGAAAAGATAGAGCAGGATGAGAGGATCTAGAGGGACAGGATTAGTGCTAGTCAGAGAAGACCTCCCTGAGAAGATGACAGCTGAGGCAAATGAAGTAAGCCAAGAAAGAGGTCACTGTCAAGGCCACCTCTACAATGTCACATTTAATAGCCCCTACACTGGTTTACACCCAAGCACATAGTAACCACATTCAGAGGACTCAGAACTAATGCACATATACATGGATGCACTGGCACACACTCATACACAGATGCACACACACACACTCAAAAAGAGAAGATTACCACTCAGGTCCCGCAACTTGGCCTTCAACACCTTTGCATCCCCACCTGAAGGATGACCCATGTTGCCACCCCACTGGTTCTCCATATAAAGTGCTGCTACCAACACCTGGCTCCCTCCCATCTTCCCTCCCCCACAACCCTCAGAACTGGGCAGCCAACACAGGGAGACAGGTTGGACACTACTCGTGCCTGATGTGAAAAGGGAGCAGAGACAGGGAGAGGGAGACCCAGTGTGGGAAGAGGGAGCGTTGCTGAAGCACAGAGCAGAAGGACAAGGGAGACAGCTGAGGACAAGGGACAGGGAGTGCTGGCAGAAGTGGTCAGTAGTGCTGTCTATCCTCCCTTCCCCCATGGGTGCGCAGGCACCAGCCCCTTACCTGGAGCCCCCATGCTGGAGTGAACCATTCTGCCCGCCCGCCAGGGCTGGGGAACAACTGTGTCATCTCCCCGCCCTCTCTGGGGGGCCAACCCTCCCTGCCGGAAGCCACCCAGGGAGGAAACCACAGGGCTGGTCCGCCCCCTTCGGAAGGGAAAATACTCTGGCCCACAGACCCGCCCCAGCAGCCCAGTCGACCCCAAATCATGCGTGTGTGCTTGGGGGTGGGAGTTAGTGGGGTGGAAAGCAAGCAGGCTGGAAGAGCTGACTCCTGCATTCCCCACCACCACCAGAAGTGCCTACAACACTTGTCCCAGCACTCCTGATGCCCCGTGGGGTAAACACATCTGGAATAGGACGTGTGGGTCTGGAGAGAAGGCTGGCAGTTTCCTGGGGAGAGGGTGGAGGGGATCCCGTCGCCTGGTCCTGCCCCTCACACTTGACAGGTACCATGTGGAGAGGTGTGCACTGTTACTTGCCCCATTTTACAGAGTAAAAGACTGAAGATCAGAGACGTGACAGGTGGCTTTCTCAAAGACCCAGAGCAAGAAGCATTGAAGCCAAAAGCCGGATGCAGTGGAGAGGCCCAAGTCCTGCACCTGTCCACAGGTAAGGGGTCCTGGGCCACCACTGGAGGAAATAGTGTCCATGAGCAGTGGCAGTGAGGGCGGAGGGTCGGAGCCTCGTCCCAGGACGGCAAGAAGTCTGTCAGAGGGCAAACACGGGCGCCCAAGAAGGCTCAGGTAGAAGAGAACATGGTGTCCCCTGGCTGCCAGGCTGGCCCTTCGCGCTGCGGCGCTCCCAGGCCGGCGTTTCCCTTGGCGCCCGCCAGAGGGCAGCAGCGTCCGGTCAATGGGCCTGAGGGCGGGGCCGGTTGCGGTGAACGGAGCCCCTCCCTCGGCTCCCAACCCCCGTCCCGCCATCCTCCTCCCGCCCTCGCGCGCACACCTGCGAGGGTCACACAAAGGCGCAGGACTCCGGCGCACAACGGCGCAGACAAAGGCGTGCCTGAGACTGCTGCCCTCTTCCTCCTCTTGGCGCTTGGGGTCCGAAGCTGCGGAGCCACCTGACGCCCCCAAACAGCTTTCCATACGCTGTTCCCGCGCTGAGGGGCCCCCCAAACCGCACGTGCACATGCAGATGCCTGGATTCACCCCCCCACACACACACACACAAAAAACACTCAAGTATTTCTTCACATAGACCCCAGCAGTTCACACAGATGGGCACACAAAGAATCACATGAACACATCTCTGCCCATGGCCCCAACTCAGACCCTCCCTCTTGAACATGGTCTCTCGGCATACAGACACCCGCTCTATTCCCTCACGTGGACCTATGGGCACAAGGACACATCTACACATATGGCTGGCCCAGGCCTGGTCATGTGTATCCACACTCACATGTGTACACCTGTCACATGAATGAGAAGCAGAGCGCCCACTCTGTCTACCAATAGGCTCTGTGTACACAGACACACCCAGGCAGGCAGGTTAGCAGACAGGAATGAACTCAGATCTCTGCACACAGGGGACAGTTTCTAGGCTTCTATACTTCACAACATCCCTTTATCGCAGAGGCCATTTCACAGAGGGCATCCGTAGACTGCTTGGCCACTGCAGGATTTCCATACACTGAGGGCCTTCCCGGCAGCACACCAGTGGCAATGGAGTACTGGATTCTTGTCTTGAAGCTGCATTTGCCCAGTAAGCTCTGTTTTCACTTAGGATTTATTTATGTTTTGAGGGCTAGGAAATGGGAGCCTTAGGACACTGGACAGGGGAAGCAAGAACCAGCTGCTGCCCTCATGCTCCACCCTGAATCTATTCTATGTCACCCATGTGAGGAACATGCTTTTGGACATGACTCCAGGTCACCACTGAAGGCAAGCAAGGAGAGAAGGAACACCCACTTGAAGGACGAAATCCCCCTACTCCTGTACCTTCCCATGCTGGCCCTGGGGTGAAGGAGCCTTGACAGATGGTGGACCTGCCCAGGAAAGGACAGAGGGGCAAAGTTTGGGGCACTCAGGTGGGCAGGGCCTGATAGCTGGGAATGGGGAGGCCCAGGCAGAGTGAGACGTGGCCTGTTTGCCAGAGAAGAGGCCTTGAGCCATGCTGAGCAAGGCAGGTAAGGCACTGGTGCTGGGGAGCAGTGGGGGCCACTTGAGGTGCAGGGAGCCTGCAGGGAGGCAGCATAGGGGAGGCCAGGCTGGGCTCAGGGCTGAGCGGTAATTAAAGGAGACGTAGGGGGCTCCCCAGGGCCAGCGGGGCTGGTAACTGACACGCGGGCCCCATTGCTCCGCTCATATTTCTCGCCAGATCGATACGTTTGACTCCCGACAAGACAATAATCGCTTGTACGCGGCTGGCGAGTCGATCAAATACATTATTAGAGTGAGGTCCCCCGGGGGCCCGCTGGGGAGTGTGGGGGGGGGAGCAGCCGGCCCACCGGGGACAGTAGAGCGAGATTCTTCACCCCTCAGCCCCCCCCCCACATGGCCTCTTCCTCCTGGCCACCCCTGGGGACCATCTTGATGGCTCAGTTCTCCAGTCTCTCCCTGGACTCCTGGTATCTTTGGCAATCTCTCTTCCCAGCCCCAGCCTCATCCCTGCTCTGGGTGGGGACCCAAGGGGTCTTTCCACATAGCTTCTGCCTGCCCTCATGTGTAGGGTTGTGGCATGTGGGAGCTCAGAGAGGGTCCTCAGACCCTAGCCTGGAGGAGAGAGGGAGACTGAATCACAGGCCACACTGAATCCATGGCCAGGCTAGGAAGTGAACTGAAACCAAGATTCATTAGCACCAGTCTTCCTCCAGGCTCCCTGCCTCGCTTCTGCACTTTGGCCTTCAACAGAGCCCAGGCTGGGGTAGCCTCTGGGGGCATAGCTTAGGGGCCTAGCCAGGCAGGAAAGCAAGATGGTAAGGGTGGCAGATGAGCCCACAGATAAAGGGCTATGTGGTCAGTCCTGCTTCAGGCCATGTAGTCCCTCAGATACCCTTTCAGTCATGCCCAGCCTCAGCCCTGGCCCACCATGGGCATCACTTGCTCACCTCTTAACCACAACCCTGGCTTCTGGGCTCAAGTCCATCTCCTGTTTATGTGCTGCCTTCCCACCTAGACATGAGGTCTGCTCAGGACTGCTCCAACAGGCCCAAGTCAAAGTCAAGTTCGGTTTAGGCACATTGAGTATCCAGAGACTTAAAATATTTATTCTCCTTCATTATCATCATCATCCACGGCAGCAGAGGTGGCAGCCTCACTGTCTGTTCTGTGCTACTCGAACGTGTTAATCGTCAATCTTCACAACAGTCTTAGGTGGTAGGGTTTCCACCTAAATGGTGGCTGTTATTCCATTTTATTGATGAATTGGGGCTCAGAGAGGTAAAGTCACCTGCCCCAAGATACACAGTGTGTGTCAAACCCAGGTCTATCCTCTCCACAGCCTGTACTGTCTCTGTTTTGCCATGGGCCTCCCTTTTGGAGCTCTGAAATGCTCCCCATTATCCAGTGGACATCAAGTATAGCTGCTCTTTGCTGGGCACCACTAGCTGACCCCTATATTCCCAGTTACTTGGGAGGCTGTGATAGGGAGGATCATGTTTATAGGCCAGCTTGTGCAAATAGTTTGCAAGACTCCATCTTCAAAATAATCAGAGAAGAATGGACTAGAGGTATGGCTCAAGTGGTAGAGCACCTGCTTTCAATCCTGAGTCAAACTCCAATCCCAACCAAGAGAGAGAGAGAGAATAGCTGTTCTTTGTCTACTCAGGAACACCAGAATCCTCCCAAAACCTTTACAATGTTTACAATGTGTTTCTTGATGTTTGGCAAGGCAGTGACCTCCTTCTGACCACTTCGGCTCCCTTCCCCACTTCTTTCAGTCCAAGCACTTCCTATGTGTTCCTCAGTGCCACACCCTGTGCTGGAAGCTGAGGACCCAGAGATGAGCTAGACTTGAAACTGCTCTCAAGAAGCTTGTGGTCAGCTGGGTGTGGTGGCACAGGCCTGCAATCACAGCTAGTTGTGAGGCAGAGGCAGGAGGATCAAGAGTTTGAGGCTCGTAGTTTGAGAAGACTGGAGTGGGTAACTCTGGCAACCCATACTCATCACGCAGTCAGTAAGGATTCAGTAAATGTGCCAGGATATTGAAAGTAAGTTCATTGAAAGCAAAACAAAGACATGTCTGTTCCCCCTGCCACATACACATAATGCTTACAGTCTTTTGGAGGAGAGTTTTTAAAAGCCACCAATAAATACTTAACTTCAAGTTGGGAAAAGTACTTTTTTTGGGTACTGGAGTTTGAACTCAGGGCCTGGAGCTTGCCACTTAAGCCACACTCACAGCCTTTTTTGCTTTAGTTATTTTTCAGATACAGTCTCACACTTTTGCCCAGGGCTGGTCTTGGACTTCCATCCTCCTGCCTCCACTTCCATTGAAGCTGGGATTATAGGTGTGATCCACCATTCCCAACCCAAGAAACTACTTTCAAGAATAGGCAGAGGGCTGGAGGCATAGCTGAAGTGGTAGAGCACCTGCATCGCAAATGCAAAACCCTGAGTTCAAACACCAATACCACCAAAAAAAATAGGTGGAGGATGATGGACTCAGTGGCTCATGTCTGTAATCCCAGCTACAAGGGAGGCAGAGATTGGGACCAGAAAAGAAGTTCTCAAGATCCTATCTCAATTAATAAGCTGGGTATGGTGGTATGTGCCTGTCGTCTCAGCTACTCAGGAGGTATAAATAAGAGGACTGAGGTCCTGGCTGGCTTAGGCAAAAATGTGAGACCCCATTAAAAAAATAACTGACACAAAAAGGTAGGGTCATGGCTTAAGTGGTAGAGAACTTGCCTAGCAAGTGCAAAGCCCTGAGTTAAAAAAAAAAATAAAGGAATAGGTGGAGAAAAAAGAATAGGTAGAGGAATATATCTGATATAAAATGGAGGGTGGCATGCTGTGGAAACCTGTCCTGAGGAGGTGGTGTTTGCATAGCAATTCAACACAGCGTTCAGGAGGCAAAGTGTGTGGGGAAGGCACGCCAAGCACTAGGGCAGAGG